GTTGAAAGTACAGCCACTGATTGGTCAGCAGACAATTACGCCACACGGCATGATTTGCATAAGACTATGGCTTGGGAATCACAGATTTGCATAATGTTATCGCTGGTGATCGCTAATTGGTCGGCTGGGAATCACGCCACATCACATTTGCATAGTGCTACGGTTCAGTAAGCACTAATTGGTCATCGAGCTCGATGTGGACACTATAAAAAGGTTAAGTTGAATGTGTCGCAAGGTGTTCTCTCGAACCTGTTTAGCGTATTGTTCAACAATAAATGTGAATTCGTCTTCATGGAAATATAAGACATCCCCCTGAAAATAAGACCTAGTGCATTTTTTAGAGCAAAAATTAATATAAGACACTGTCTTATTTTCGGGGAAACACGGTATGTTCATCTAAAATCATCTGAAAAAATAAATATTCAAATAAATGTATTAAATATTGTATTGAAATAAATGGTATTACATATAAATATCTATGATTATGCATTTGATACATTTTAACACATGTATAAAATTAAAAAAATTAGACTAAATGTTTTTTTGAAAAATTGGCGTTTACATTAAATAAAATACCAATTTACATACAACTTACAGTGTGATGTCTAATATAATTATCATTGTCATTTAATAATATAAAGTTATAAATATTTCTGCAACTTCAGATATAATGTTGTTGATTGTTTTCTCCCACAACCAGGCAAAATATATTTTTCAAATGAAAGTCCTTTTTTGCACAATAATGGTTTTGGTTTTGCACAATAACTTTTTTAATGGTGTAATTTTCACCTATATAAATTAAACAGTTATTCTGAAAGTACTTAAAAATAAATAAGCATATGTTTTCTCTTATATTATATGACCTGCTGATTCCTTATGTACTATACATTTACAGTAATTTGATGGAAACATCAAAGCATAACACTAATTTCTGAGATTCATTCTCCATCATTGCATGATGGAATAGACTGGATAAACCATCTCCTAGGGTAGGTACTGTACATTCAGTAACCAATCATGATTAGAGCATCACCTTTAAAAATGGTGATTTGCAATAAAATATATATTGCTTATAGACCATTTATTTTAGAAACATTAAACTTGCAGGAAATTTGTGATCAAAACTAGATTGCTGAGTATAGGAATTTAGCCATTATTATTATTATTCTCATTTTACTGCATAAATTATTGTTCTTACTATACATGATTCTAAAGAAAGAGAACAGACTTTTATCATATTTTTTTCATTTGTTTAACATTTTACAGGTAGATACGTAAATGAAAATTCAAAATAATTAGAATATTTAAGAATTTATTTATTACTATTACAATTCTGAATAAACCACATTTGTAGTTTGTTTTTGGGCTGCAATTTGAAAAGATTGTTGACCTATGAATTTCCATTGTCATATGTCTGTCCATCTTTCCTTAATCTCAAGAACAACATTAGATAGATGAAAGATGAGACCAGATATGAAAACCTTAGGGACAGGAGGTTCCAATTAACTGCATATAAACTTTCAATGTACACAGTTATTTCAATTCAAAACTTTTCCTCTGAAAGCAGTTAATAGATAACTGTCACAAATCTATTGTTAAAGGAAAGGTATGATGTACAGGGGCAAGCCACTACTAATTTGAGGTGGAAAGCATATATTATAAATGAAATAAATTAAAAATATGATTAAAAATTGCTTACAATGATGATGTCACAAGAAATAATTGCTTGTTCTTTTTATAAATAATTTCTGGAATATTATAGTTTATGAAATTTTTTCTCTAATTTGCTTTTTCCTTCTGCATAAAAGTTATTTTTTTTGTAAATAATAGCATGCATTCTTACACATTTTGCATTTCTTTTGTTGTTTAATATAACATATTAAAATCTGATCATATTGATATAAAATTTTTTATAATTTTTATAGAATGAATTAAAAAGAACTTGTTTGCATGACTTTCATTTGGAACAGAAAGGAAAAATGGTACCATTTGCAGGCTTCAAAATGCCTGTACAATATGGCAATCAAAGCATCACCGAATCACATTTACACACACGGAAACATGTGAGTATTTTTGATGTCTCTCACATGCTGCAATTTGAGATTCATGGAAAAGACAGTATTGAATTTATGGAAAGTCTTACAGTTGCTGATATTCAAGGTAAAACTATTAATATAAATAATATATTTGCATAACTTAATTTATGAAGATTTTGTTTTTAAAATAAAGGTTTAAATGATAATCAGGGAACTTTGACTCTTTTTACTACTGAAAATGGTGGTATTATTGATGATTTAATTGTTACAAAAGTATCAGATGATTATTTATATGTTGTTTCTAATGCTGGATGCATTGAGAAAGATTTGGATCATATTCAGGTATTTTATTTTTGTTTTTATATATACAAGACAAATTTAATAGAAAACTGGAAAGTCCCATTAAAATTCAGGAAGGCAAGCGATATCATGGTAATTTTGACACAAAACGTTCGTCAGAGTTAATAGTGATCACAAATAGAAGCACTGTTGAATGTAAGAACCTATTGAACAAGAAAATGGTGTACCTTGCCAGTAATGCATGAAAGAAGAGCAGCATAATGTTTCTGTGGACGATTCTCCAAGGCTAGAGAATGTCATGGAGAATCTTCCATAAAATGGTACTCTTAAACCTAGAACTCCATTTGCACACCTGGATGCAACCCATATAGCTGTTTCCATATTATGCTTACATGTTCTGATGGATGTTGATCAGTTTCACACCCTGCTTATCAAAAATCAGACAGCACTATGCTGCTCTTCCTTCATGCATTGCTGGAGAACTACCATTTTTTGGTCTGTTGTCTTATGTTCTTGTGTGCCAAAAGTGTTGCCAGTCATGATTACTATTAACTCTAATTTGGAAGTTTTGCGTGTTAAAATTAACACAGTATCATTCATCTTCCCAAATTTTAATAGCATTTTTCTGATTTTCTATTGAATCTGTTTTGTATATATTTTTAAATACAAGCTGCCATCCTTTTATGCCAGTGATGTATTCCTGGAGGAAGTGGCATGAATAAAATTAGTGCAAATCCATTTTATTATGGAATAAATAGGGATGGATAACTGGAATGCATCCCTATTTATATATGATATATATGTACAGTATATATATTTCAATAATATGTTTAACACTGAAATTTACTGACAGAGTAATAATAAATTAAGTATAATTTCTGTATTGTTTATTTATAGTCAAAATCAACATTGCAATTTTTACGCTGCCACTATGTTGATCTTGTAAAGCAGTGTCACTGGTTGAAGCTTCACGTCTGCAATGATGGGTCCCAGTTGAGGGTCATCTATCAATGACTGGCTAGGCTGCAGATCATGCATCTTCTTAAAATATGAATCCAAACTTATTTGTTGTGATTTTCTTTTCCTGTTTTTGAGAATTTCATAATAAGCTACTAAGGCTTCATTTAAACTTCTCTGTACAAAGTCACTTTTTCAACACCCTTCAACCAATGAGTTGGCATTAGCAAGAAATTATTTAAGAGCATCAGTAGTAGTTATCTTTATAACACACACTGGTTCATCATTATTCATCTCCGCTGATTGAGTTTTAATATTAAATGCTAACTGTTATATAAATGTTTGTATTTAGCATTTACAAACAATACTCTATTCTACACACTGTAGAAAGTTTTTTGGAGGGGGAGAAAATTTGAAACCAGCATTATTGTTAATCAGCGTAAATCAAACAGGCATAAAATGAGGGCAGTCTGTATTGTTTACCTACTGTAACATAAGGTATCAGTTTGTTTTTGTGTGGGATTCAGATTCATATTCAATCAAGACCTTTGTAATCGTGGATAATTAGAATTCTATTGTCATTCTTAATGTTTGTGTCATTTGTTATCAGATCCATCTGTGATGGGCAAAATTAAGGAAATGCTAATCATATAATCTACATATTCTGGTACCTCATGAAAACATTAAATTTTTTTCTGAAAACTTCAAATCTATTTTATGACCTAAAACTTTTTTGTAATTTAGAAACATCTACAAGAATTTAAAACTAAAGGAAAAGATGCCAAGTTGCAAGTATTGAAGGACCAAGCTTTATTAGCTGTTCAAGGTTAGTTTTTATTTACAGAATGGCTCAAAAATCAGTTAACTTTAGAACATTTGAAAATTTAAAATAATTAGTAGTAAAATAAATTGGTTTTGAACAGCTGCATATTATTGCTCATGATTCTATGTTCATATTTATTTATTTATATTCAAACAGAATATCAAATTGTTTTATTTCAATTTGTGATGTAAAGTATGAATTGTAAACTCTGTTTAGATCAGTGAGTTTTTCTTTTGCAAAATTTAAAGAAATATAATCAAAACTGTGCAATACTGAAAGATATATTTACTGAAAAGTCTGTATAGATGTTAAATTACACATGTATAAAATGACTCATATTAAAGATTTGAATAATTTACTGTAGTTTTTGGGCATCTGAATTTGGGTAACTGAAGATTTGTATTAGAATGCTGTAAACTTATATTGAATTTTCCTAAATTTTATTTTGCATGATCTTCAAACAGTAGTGTCTTAGTCAATTATACAACACTGTATGTGGGTAGCCTGAGGTAGGACGAGGTCGTACCTCTTTTTGATAGGCAACAGTTGGGTGAGAACTGCCCACTGGTCAGTGGATGGCTTGGATAATGTTTTCTCTATACCATAAAGTCGGGATTCTTTTGTCAGGTCGAGTGGAGGAGGTGAGAGGGGTCGTCGGTAAAGTGTGAACGATACTCGAAATAAAGACGACTTTGTAATAAACAAACAAATATTTATTTAGACAACATAATCCTAACATACAAAAACTACCTACTTGCGCGTTATTTGAAGGGACCACGCCGAGAGAGAGTTTACATTAATGGGTATCATACCTCTACGATTTCGGATCGGACGGTCGGACGTTTTCTAACCGGATCGGACAAGTTGTCTTGAGGAACGGACGGCGGCAATGAGGATCGGCACGGGGTTTCCCCGATCATGAACGGTGATGATGGACCGTGTTCACGACAGCGACGACGGACGGACCCCTTTTTCTCGTCGTCACCCCTCTTTTATCCCTCTCGTCATGTTACTGGGTTTCACCAATCGGCGATTTTTAGGATAAGTTCCTTATGAATCATTTTTCGGTTTCCCGAGAGATAGGAAACGGCTGCGTGGGAAGGAAATGTATATATCCTTTTTCGTAAAATTTCGAAAAATGAAGTTTTTCTTTGTTTAACTTTAATAAAAATGTTTAATTTAATTTGANACAAACAATTCAATAAACTACACACAAGAAAATCAGAGTTAATAAAATGACCAACCAGCCAATGGAAAAATCGGAAAGAAGAAATAGTACTTGCTTGACTGACACAACTATCTACTAACAAGGGATACTCAATCAATATGCTCAACTTGCCACACTCCAACTACCACCCAACATAAATTACTAACTATCCTCAGTACAAAACAGCCAGAGAACTCTACCTACGTCTGAAGATATTTGTACTTGCTTCAAGTACAAATATCTTCAGATGATGCTCTATGGAATATACTAGATGAGAATGGACAAATTCAACCTACAATGGCATATCTGAAGGCAGTAAACTTATATACAGAACTATAGGATGTACAATAGAACAACTATGACAAGACTAGACTCAAGAGCATACAACAACATAGCTGGCTAGACCTGACACTTTTTGGTCTACCTAGGCCACCCTTGTGCCTTAAAACCCCAAATCCAACCAACCAACAATGTAAATATCATATATTTTTTGTTTTGATTGACAAACATTTTACAAAATTTTTAAAGATTTAAAAATAAAAGCTATTTTCAATTTTGTGATTTTATATTTGCATGCACACAAACTTCCATGTGTCAAATTTTATTTTTATAACTATGTTATGTACATTAAAATTGACAAAACAAAACTGAATCAGTCATGTGATATTCAAAATACTTGTGCAGTTTTACATAAATACAAAAATAAAACTTTTTTGAATAACTAAGAATTTACTCTATTTTTACCAGGTTTTAAGTATTTTCTAATATTCTATTTTCTATTTTTTTCATAGTTGTATAATTTCTTATGAAATATGTATTTATCCACTTTTATCTGATATTTAAATTTATAACCAAACATATTGATGAATATTTTATGTGAATTATTATATATTTTCATGTTTTACAAATGTATTTGCTACTTTTACAATCTATCTATTGTACTCCGTACTCTAATATTAATTTTAATTAAACTTACACAATAATTTATAATGCTTTTTAAAACCATTCTTACTCAATTTTTTAAGATATGTAAGATGATGTCTGTAGATTTATATAATGATTCTTTATTTTCAGGAAATTTTTCTACTTTTCTGTTGTGGTGCTTTTAAATTAAATGTTTTTGAACATGGAAAGGAACAGCATTTTTATTAAATACAATTTCTAGGGGGAAAAAGTATATAAAAAGTAAGCTTTGCATGAGTCTGTTATCTTTTTTTTTATACAAAAACATTAAAATGTGTATACTTTTCATATACATATAAGATGATGAAAATGATAATGTTGATAGTAAAAATATTGTTTTACTACAGGTTTTAATAAATAATGATATAGTTACTTGGCAATTTTTCTGCTGCCAATGAAACAAAAAGTACCAAATATTTAATTTTGGTGTGTTTGGTTATTTACTTTTGTTAAAATTGACAAATAACACACAATCTCTTCCTGCAATTTTTCTTTGTCAATAGCTTTTGGGTGTTGATACATTTTGTATTTTTTAGTTCAGAATTTCCTAAATGGAACTTTTTAAACCACATTTGACATGTTCAAAGTTTAGGAACATTTTCCCCATACAGAGTTTACATACGTGTTATGAATTTTTTTACTATTTGTATAGTGTTATATCTTTTCTGGAACTTGTAAAGCGTAATATACTTGCTGCAGTGCCTGCTAATTATAAAAACTCATTCAGTGTCAGATCAGTGTTCCTACAATGTGATGGAGATTACACTCAGGATTAACTTGGCCTTGAAAATGAGAAATGTGGCTTTGTTCAAGATGTGACAAACAAATAATTATACAAAAATAGTTGAGAGACAGTGGACAAATATTGCTCATTAGTTTCTTTTATATTATATTTGTAGAATAGGCTAGAAGTCATGAATTTCCTGCTGCTTGTTGATGGGATATGGGCCCCCTTGGGAATTAGGAAAAGGGCAACCCAGACCAAAAAGTGGACACATGCCCCAAGTATTATGGACACTTGGGGCATGTGCCCACAATTATGGATTCTCTGTAAGTCTACAGTTGCATCCATACGCCATTTTATCTGAAGACATTTCAATTTGATTTTATTCAAAAAAAAAAAAGAGGGAAGTAAAATGAATAAAATAAGCTGAACAAAATACAATCTTACATTAGCAATGATGTGTTAAATTTGACAATTGTTGTTATTAATCACACATCTTAAGTAAGGATAGCTATTAAAAATAGCAAAAACTTTGTTTAACCCCAAACATAACCTTTACTTATTAACTATGACATACAAGAAATGTGTGGAAGCAACAAAGTCTAAGAGGAAGATTCTAATGTTGATTGAAATGAAAAAGAATTTATCCATGTACATACATGGTGAATCTGGCAGCCATGTTTAACATGCCACAGTTGACAGTTTGCAATCAATAAATGCAATTTTTATTTTATTATGCAGTATTTAAATATTTTATTTATTGTTTTCATGTTTAATTTATTATCAGAGTATTTAATTGTCTTATTTTTATCTTAAATTATGTGTGTTTTCTGTTTTAAGTTTATCGAAATGAATGTTGTTTGAAGTCTCGGAAATGATTAACTTACTTTCCATTAGTGTTGCCACCTTTTCAAAATCGCTGACCCGGATGGCAGGTCAGATTTGTTCAAACAAAAGTCCTGACACATGTGCAATGTCATTTTACAATGCGAAGAATAACGTGCATGCCGGTTCTAAATCAGTTAGGGATTAGGGAAACATCTCAAATATGCAAAAAATACAACAGCCTTCTATTGGCTGCCCAGACATACAGGACTCCAAGGAAATGAAATAGCAAACAAACTTGCAAAACAGGAATCAAGCAAGAACTTTCAGACTATACCATAAAGATCTTTACTGTCATATTA